ATATAAAAATGATTTTAATTAAGTAATATAAAGATCTACATTGAATAAAAATATTCTATTTTATTCTTTTTTACATCATTTATATATTTGCCTTTTAATGTGCCTGTTATTGTAGAGTATTTTATTTAAAGGCATTGTATGAATTAACTGTACAGTTTATTGAAACCAGAATTAAAATATTTAATTATTCGTTATTGCATTCTTTATAACAAAGGAATACAAAGGGCGGACTTACCAACGTGACGCCGGCCTGGTGACGAGAAAGAGAGAGAAAGTTGTGGAAGTCCTCATATGTGTGTTGCAACATAATGAAAGCAATACGTAGACAAAACCAACTAAATGTCATCGAAACTAATAATGACACGAAAGATCCTTTAAAAGGTTTAATTTCGTCTTCAATCGACGTCACTCGCTTTTCATTATCGTTTATTAATTGAAAAGGACACGGTTATAATGATATTTGATAACAGTTCCTCCAGACGACTGAAAATACGTCACTCACGGAGTAGATGGTAAGGTTGAAGCCGTCGCATCTAATTCCATTGACTAATTGCTTTATTAAAGACCTCTTTTGTGCCATCACTAAAGTTTATACTGTACGCGTTGACAGAATATATTCCCTCGTTGAAAATTAACTTAATTTTAAATTAATACTACAGGGGAAAATCCTAATTTTGCCAAACCTTTGCCAGAATTAGGAGATCGCCACCATGCTGTTTCAAAATGTTTTGATACTTAATTGTATAAAAAAAGTCTCGCTGGATTTCTTACTGGTTCTTACTACGACAAAGGTTTGTCTGAAGCAGTGGTAAAGCTCAAATGACTTTTTTCTTTTATAGAATAGGGGTGACAAACGAGCACACAATCCACCTGATGGTAAGTGGATGCTGAGGCCCATAGACATCTACATTTATCCTCGATTAAGAACCAAAACTCAGATCCGTTGTCACACCTGAGGGCTAAGATGGAATGCTTCGTTTTCTAGTAGAAAAGGGTCTCCGAATCTCTTCACTTAACCATACGAAACAGCAGCATTAAGCTGCTATTTTACGCTGGTACTGTAAGAGAGCGTGGTCGTGCCCCGGTCGAGCTGACACATGCGTGCTACAACCGTAATATAGCTGCAGCGTGGCTCTACCACGTATAGAATTCTGATCTGATCCTTCTGTATTTAATTAAAAAAGATTTATCAAAATCTGTCTCAGAGATTGCATCAAAGGGGGATATTTATTAGTGTAGTTACAAATTAGAATTTACAAAGAAAATCACAAAGTTGCTGCTGCTCGTCTCTTGTATGATTCCCTCTGTCGCCTCTTGGGACACCCACGGGATGTGGTAGTGGATATTTTACCGCCATTACACGACATCAATATAAGGTCATTGTTTATGTTTGTTCGTCCTTGTTTGAGCTATGAAGTGGGGTAAGATTTTTCTTTCCCTGCTTGATATCCTTTGTGATGAGCACAAAAGTAACCAACATAGCTCAACGGAGGAGTAAGCTGAAGAATACGCTGGGCATATAATTCGAAGAACCAGTAACCGATGTGGCAGAAACATCTTGAGTGGCAGCCTCGTACTGGTAAGCGAAGCTTAAGGCGGTACCCCACCATATGAAATTGCGACCTGGTAAAAAATGCAGGAAGTCGATGGATGCACGTGATTCAAGATGATATACCAAACAACACACGGTTGTTTGGTATATCATAGGGGGGACTATGTGCAGCAGTGAACTTAAGAAAGCTGTAGCAATGATGATGATGATTGTCAACTAATAAGATCGTGTCGCAATGGCTTAGAAATGAATTGCAGCGTAAGATTTTTGTAAGAATTTCAAATAATTGTTCTGAAAATCCTAGATTCAGCTTTACCATTAGTTCAGAAAAAGCTTCTGTCCTGGGAAGAACCAACTAGATACTCAGCAAGATTTTTTCGCACTGATACGAACGATATATGTATGAGGCTTAGTTTCACATCCGAGACAAACCCCCATCGCCCATTTCAACAAATTTTGTCTCTCCTTACTAGTATATAGCTACCAAGAGTTCATAATATAGAGTAGGTAGCGCGTAGATGTTCATATCTTGTAGAAAAATGCACAAAGCAGTAACTTGAAGACGATACGGAGCTTAATGGCGGTGTATAGCCGCCAAATTACTCGGAACTTAAGCTAAGGCGAATATTACTATAAATTGCGGATACCTCCCTTTAAAGTATTGAAAAGTTTAGTGTATAGAATTTTACTGCGTTGAATTACCTATTGAAACACTTAGAATATTTTTAATATTGAAAAGAATATAATAAAGAAATAGCCAGCCAATATAATTTTATATAATATAGATTTTTACATATTACTTATTGAAAGCCTATTTTTATTTACCACTGGTTCGGAATATATCTGTGTCCTGGGAAACTTGTGGGGGTTATTTTTCATACATAAGATTTTAGAGCAATTTTGTACAATTATTTATGTTAATTATTATAATAGATCATCTAATTCCCACGAGTTATTTTTATTAATGTTTTCCTTAATATTATAGTATTATTTTTACACAGTTTTTGATTAAAACTACTTTTACGGATTTCATCGCGTTTAATTTTCAATGATTTTAAATTCCCGACGTTTCGGGTGCTTTCCAGCACCCATAATACTGTATGTAGCACCCACTTTCAATAAGTATTGTTTATAATCTAAATTGAATAAAAAAGTTTCTGTTTCTGTTACTGTTCATGGTCACCTGGGACTGAGGTGACTGATGTTCCGATGTCAACGTTAACTCGGAGTACAATCAGCTTTTTAATTATTATTTGTGTTCCGATCTCCGTACATCTATCACCAAGTCGTTACTCCATATAGAAGGGGGCCACCCCACACTTCGCTTACCAGTAAAAGCCTATCATTCGAGAATATTTCTTCTCCATTGACTGTCTATTCTTCGAGCTAAATGGCAGGCCCATTGTCACTGCAGCTTACTGACTGCTGAGTTATGTCGGTTACTCTGGTTCTACTGTGGGTATCCTCATCGCGCATTCTACCTCGCTGAGAAACTAAACAGAGCCCTCTCCATATCTCGCTAAGCTACCTTGATCATCCCCATATGGCCGGCAGTGTTCGTCAAGCTGTAGTCGCCACGCTTGGCATGCGGGTTGGCAATTGCACTTTTGATCGTAAGTTTACTGTCATGAGAAATATGCTGCCGTCCATATCGTTTTTCATTTACCCTCTGTCGCCTCTTACGACCACGGGATGATATGGGGTAGTAAGTAGTTATTCTTACACCACCACTACACGGTGAACACTGTACATACAGTAATGTGTTATTTAATTTGAAACTTAAATCTAGTTTAATAATATATGTAACCTTTTACATTATAAAAAGTTAAAATATGTCACGTTTATATAAGCTTAAAAGTATAATATTTTAGGTAGAATTAGAAAAAACAGATTTCTAAAATATTCATCTAATATTTTATAAAATAAAGTAGGTTAGTAATTCCTTTTTAACACGTTTTTATTAGTTTCGCGTGTATCTATCCATCTATGTGACGGAATCTTTTAATATTTTTATATACGTGGTAGAGCCATGCTGCAGTTATATTAGTAGCATATTTGTAGCACGAATGGGTCGGCTCAACCGAGGAAGGACCACGCTCTCACAGAATACCAGCGTCAAATAGTAGCTTAATGCTGCTGTGTTTCGTATAGTGAGTGTAGAGAACCGAAGACCCTTTTTACTGGAAACGAGGCATTCCATCTAAGTCCTCACGGGTGACAACTTGCATTTATTGTAATCCAGGATAGATGTAGATGTCTATGGGCCACAGCAACCACTTGCCATCGGGTGGGCTGTGTGCTCGTTTGTCACACTATCCTATAAAAAAATGTAATTTTTACCAACTTGTAGCCGGCCGATTGATTTGAAATTTTTCACTCGTTTCAAGGACTTATGACAATACAATAACTCAATAACTTTATCCTATTACGCTGATCGGGACCACCAGGATAATTATTTCTAGAATCATCATTAAAATTAATATTTCAAATGTATTTAATTAATGCATTCCTTATAGATTATATAAGGTTATGTTATAAGCTAAAAATACAGCTTTAAAAAAAGTTGTCAATGTAGATTCCACTCGAGTGTAGAGGCGGTCGGTCGGTTAGAAACAACATAATATGTACTTTCTGTATAGACCCGAGCGGGAAATCCCACGCGATGACACCACCTGCTGCTTATTTTTTACTAAGTTGGAATTTATTATTGGTAATGTTTGTCGCAATATATTCGCTTCTAACTTTAAATGGATTTTACTATGTTTTTGTTGGATAAACGAAGCCAAGAATAAAGAAATATGGAATAAGCTAAAGGAGGCCTTTACCCGAGGAGGAGTTCGTACCTAAATAAAAATTATAGTTAATGTTTTTACAATTAATAGTACAAGGAAATTGTGAGCTCAAACATAATTCTGTTATAATGTTTGCCTCTCTGTTCTGTTGCTTGAAATATTTTAGAAGTTATAAGCCGTATTACATACGTTAAAAAATCTTAAATATAGTCTATATACGATCCACTCCTGGGCGAGGCCTCCTCTCTTTTCTAGAGAGTTTTATGGCAAGTAAATATCCGTTACGCTGCCTCAACGCGTGTTGGCGGGCTTTACAACTTTTATGCATATATTTTTTTTATTTCTCGGCCATGCTGGTTATCTCATGATGTTTTCCTTCACCGCCGAGTACGTGGTAAATGAGCACATATTGTATACAATAACAATTTTTAGGTGCCAGCGGGGATCGAATTAAATTACGCTTTATTTTTTTTAAATCAATAAACAATATTACATCTAACAACGTCGAAGTTTAAACAAAAGGTTTGAAAAGACGCAACCGTAGTATTATAAATCTTAAACAAGTACGTCTTACATTCTTACATCAAAGCTGTTCACACACTTTAGAGAACATAACAAATGTGTGAGGGGAAGGGATTGATAGGAGATGGTAGAGTATGGGCGCAGCTATAGGTGAGTGTGTTTGTCCTATCTTAAAAATCCTGCCTACACCAAAGGGGATGAAGGTTAGAAAATGCACAGATTTTTCTAGTCCGCCGCCGGGCGTTTGAAAACTAGATTACTCTGGTAATTCACTTTTGTTTATTTCGACATGAATAAGGATCCTTAAAAACCAAAGCTCAGGTCCTGCAAAAATATGATTTTTTGACATAAGTAGTAAATGTTTAAATCTTCAAAATAGACATATTTGAACTTAGTTCACGGAGGGCCCAAACTTGTATGGAATCAAGTTCATCTCTCTTAATTTTTTATAAGCTGCGAATGGAGTGTTTGTCTTCAAATTGCAAACCACTCATGTACTGTTATGATATATGTGACTTTCACATGTTGCCATATTAACCATCCGAATTGTATTTCATTGCACCTTTTTCAAAAAATTTTTTAAGAAAATCCTATCCTTCGTACAAGGAGTTTGCGGGCCGATAAATAAAGACGAAAAAAACTGTTAAAATGAAACAATTGATAAATATGCGTTATGTTTCTAGAACATTGTTCTCATAATATCCAAGGAGAATTGTTCATTAATTAATTTAAAATATGCTTAAACCAATTTAAAGCCTTATCGCCCTTTGTGATACAGTTAAAATATATAAGCAAAGTTATTAACCCCAAAAAATTATAAGAGTACTCGATAAAGTCAGTTTACCTGATAGGGAAGAAAAAGGGTCTGACGAATGTGACCAAAACCGTCAGATAAAACCATTTATTATTTGTTTCCATCTAAAATATAAGTTAGAAGTGATAGCTTCTTTGATATCATTCATACGTGAAATGTACGTATAAAAAGTGGCAGGGCTGCCCACAGAATACTATAGTACATACAATAAGAATGAGGGAGTGGGCGGAGCCCGTGTAGCCACTAAAATGACACTAACATGTCAATTCACATCTATATATGTCAACACATCTCTTTTGACATTACAATCGTTTCCAATTTTGGCTTAGTTTGCATACAATTTACAAATAGATATGTATTAAAATTTAAACGATTTATTTTTAATGATATTTTGAACATTAATCAAAAGTTTAAAATGTGTAAATAAGCTCAGTCTGTCAACACAGCGAATCGGGTATGTAATAGTGATAATATGACGTAATTGCTTGTATGTGTGCTCCCGGCGACGCCGATCCTCGTACAAAATAAGGTTGACAGCCATTCTACTGTGTATTAATGGTATTCTATAGGGCTGCCTTTATGTTTAGTATTTACTTACACCCTCTTACCTAATTCTACTTAGCTGTATAACACTCATTACTTTGCTCCAGTTTGGAGGTTAAGAGAGTCAGTATAATTACAGGCTTTGAGGCATTTCACCTTAGTAAGTACATAAAGCGGGGATAAAACACGTAAACACGTAAGTGTCGATGCTTTTACTTGATAGTTGGATCAAAGTATCGATACCAACTTGTATCTATACTTTTTCACATGTTCCTTATTCATCTTTTAAATATATTTCTGATATATCCTTCATATGCTCTTATATCAAAAGTGTATACTATGTAGGTACTGTAATACATTCAAAATGCTGAATAAGAATTATGTTAATAAGTATCGATAAAAATTGGTATCGATACTTTATATAGAAAAAAATATGAAATAGAGATATATAGAAAAGGTTTTTTTAATACGAGGGTGGATTGAAAAGTACTCGGCCTAACACAGATCCATTCAATTCTAAAAATCAAATCTACCCACATTATTTAGTTCAGTTCAGACTAGTTCATTGTGTGAAGTTCGAAACGTGTGCGATAATCAGTTGTGATTTTATAAATTTATTAACAAAGTAATCGGACATAATTTCCGCAAATGGAGCAAATCGAGCAGCATGCCGTCATTAAGTACCTCCATAAGAAGGGGCTATCATCAAAAGCCATCCATGATGACATGGTCAGTATATTAGGCGATTGTGCTCTGTCATATTCATCCGTCAAAAAATGGATAGCAGAATTTAAGCGTGGTAGAGAGAGTGTGAAAGATGAACCCCGCTCTGGAAGGCCTTCGACGTCAACTACTGACGAAAATATTAAAAAAGTACTTGATTTAATAATGGGAGACCGCAGATTAAAAATTAGAGAGATAGCCGAGATTATAGGCATCTCTTATGAACGAACTCAAAACATCATTGTCAACGAGTTGGGTTTCCACAAGGTGTCTGCGAGGTGGGATCCGCGACTGCTTTCAGTTGAACAAAAAAAGGACGCGATTGACTATTTCACGCGAATGTTTGGAGTTATTTGAAGCCGATGCAGATGATTTTTTGAATCGTTTTGTTACTATGGACGAAACATGGGTTCATTACTGTACACCGGAAACAAAACAACAATCAAAACAGTGGAGAAGACCTGGTTCACCACCCCCTAAAAAAGGCTAAGTCGATTTTGTCGGCAAATAAGGTGATGGCTTCAGTATTCTGGGACTCGAAAGGTGTGATTATGATTGTTTATCTTGAAAGGGGTCAGATTATAAACTCTGATTACTACTGCACCTTACTACGTCGTTTATGAGAGGAAATAAAAGAAAAACGTCGAGGAATGCTCAGAAGAAAAGTCCTGTTTCATCAAGATAACGCCCGTGTTCACACGTCAGTACAGTCAATGGCTGAAATTCACAACTGTGGCTTTGAACTGTTACCGCATTCGCCGTATTCACCTGATCTGGCACTATCAGACTTCTTTCTGTTCCTTAACCTAAAAAAGCACTTGGGAGGTCAAAGATTTTCGACAAACGACGAGGTCAAAGCAGCTGTAGACGCATATTTTGACTCTAAGGAAGAATCATTTTTTTTCAACGGTCTAAATGCTTGGAAGGGGAGGTGGCAAATGTGTATTGAACTTGATGGTGATTATGTAGAAAAATAAAAATATAACTGATTTAGTATGTGTTTATTATCTTAGTTAGGCCGAGTACTTTTCAATCCACCCTCGTATTAATCGGTGATAAATATAGATGTCTAAGCTACATTTATCACCGATTAAAAATCAAACTACAGATACGTTGTCGCTTCTGAGGTCTAAGATGTAATGCCTGTTATCATCATCATCATCATCTTAACAGCCCTTCACAAGTCCACTGCTGAACATAAGCCTCCCCCAAGGTATGATACAAAGTACGGTCCTGAGCCACCTGCATCCATCGACTCACTGCATGTCTTACCAGGTCGTCACTCCATCTAGTGGCCCTACACTTCGCCTACCGGTACGAGGCTGCCACTCGAGAACCTTTTTCCCCAACGGTTGTCGGTTCTTCGAGCTACATGGCCGGCCCATTGTCACTTCAGATAACTAATCCTTTGGGCTATGTCGGTCACTCTAGTTCTACTGCGGATATCCTCATTTCTAAGTTTATTACGCAGAGAAACTCCGAGCATAGCCCTCTCCATAGCTCGCTGAGCGACTTTGAGCGTCCTCATACGGCCGACAGTGTAGGACCACGTCTCGGTTCCGTAAGTCATCACTTTTTTTTTTTTTGGTTTTGAGGTATACCTGACGAGAAGATGCGTCGTAATTTCCCGAACGCTGCCCAACCGAGTTGAATCCGTCAATTGACCTCTCGGTAGAAGTTGGACTTACCTAGTCGGACTATTTGTCCCAGGTAAACGTACTCGTCAACAACTTCGAGCTTACTGCTCCCAACAACTACCGGCATAGGTGTGACATGGACATTAAACATGATCTTTGTTTTGTCCATGTACATCTTAAGAACTATCCGTTGGGAGACACCATTGTGCCTCTGTAGTGCCTCAATGTACCGCACTATTGAGGTCATTGACCATAGTGCTTAAGTGCCTGTTATAATCATCATTATTTTAAAACACTGTAATACGGTAGTACATTTTTCCCTCCGTTACAAATACACGGCAATGATAATTTTCAGCGCCTCTAACACGAGAAATAATAAACGGGAGCCAGTCTCAAATATTTAAATCGTACATAAATAGTGACGCGCCCCGCATTTGCACGGATGATTTATGGATCTCGAAAACAGAGTCACCTACTGATCTAATAATGAATGTAAACCTTCTAGGGACCCGCTAAAACATACAAAACAAATCATTAAAATCGATCCTGCCGTTGAGGAAGAGTTCACACGTACAGTAGAATTATAAGTTATATTATACGAACTCCGTCCGCGTTGCGTCTCGTTTTGAAATTCGGTTGGTCAAGAAAAGTATTACAGTATGTTTTACAAAGTTAGTATACGTTATGATAAAGAAACTAATTTACATGTGATTCGTGTCGTAAATGTTTTATTTCTACGTCTTCTTAAGTCAAAGAAACCTCGTTACCCGACTGCGTCAGAAAGAGGATGTGTTTTTGGAGTGTATGTATTTATGAATATCATTTTCTTGGCACGCTCTGTAGCTTTAATAGATCTTAACACATGTGGTGTCGTTAGAATTGTCTTAAGACCGATTTACACTTTGACAAGTACAATAGCGAGTTTAGTCACAGGTTAGTTGACAGTAAACGGTTAAGTGGACAGTAACGTTCAAAAGTCTTCGTGGCGAGTTTGGTTAAAAAAGTACAATTTTATATTTTGAGGGTCAAACGCGAACACGTTGCGTCCCGTCAACTTATACAATGAACTAAACTCGCTCGTTCACACGAACGGCGAGTTTAGTTGCGAGTGTCGGGAGACGCGCGGGAGGGCAACACTTCGTACTTATCTCGCCGAAAAATAGACCGGCCAGCTATCCCGTTAACTTGCTACTTAACTCACTAATTGACATACAAACGAGATTTTTTACTTAGCTCGCCAGATTCGCAAGTTAACTCGCTCCTGTACTTGTCGAAGTGTAATTCGGTCTTTAGTTGTAGAAGTGTCCATAAGATATAAAACTTATCTTTCTAATAGTAAACTTTTTTAAGCATTCGGGCTTTTTGATTACTGTTTTAGCCTTTGGACTTGTTTTGAAACGGCAGTAGACGGCAATAATGTTTAATTACCAAAATTTTAATTTAAAACGTCAATGAAATTATTTTATTTCTCTTAAGAAGTTGACAATTTTATCGATATTTTAATATTTTGTTCCAGGCGACACAATATGTCCCAACGGCATGTTCCGGTGTCCGGAAGGCAAGTGCATACCTTCGCTGTGGGTGTGCAACTATCAGAGCGACTGCGCAAAAGGAGAGGACGAGTTTCAGGCCTGTCGTAAGTACTTTATACGTTATGGAGATTGTTATCTGTTTATTCATAAAAGTTCTCTGATAGTAAATTTCAGAAAGCTCTTATCCATTACTAATGGCGATAAATTACGAAAGAATGTAATTAGGTTATCTGTTATTTTTGATATTATATGTATGTCTGATATAAGTTATGCAGCATTTAATTTTTTATGCTTGACAAAGTTATCAAACTTTTCAGCCTACTCTATATCGTCACCATGAGCAGTTTCGGACAGTTATTTTTAATTAACTACCGCTTGGAAGTCAGAAATAATATGATATTTATAGTAACTTTTTACAAAGAAAATAAAACAATACCGTAAAAAAATTTCATACCAAATTATTACCGAAGACCACCTTGTAGCGATTTTTAATTGAAAACACGATCTTTATACAAAATTAATGAGGAAATAAACGTTATGAGTCATGCGATATTTATACGAATAACGCACCACAATATTGAAAATTCCTACAAAAGTGGGTTATACTGAAAGTTTTGAGTTACTCTTAAACAAAACAATTTTTATGTAAACCTATAAATTTACTGTTTTTCAAAGAATTCCCCATTACATTTTAAACACCTTTTGAACCGTTCATACCATTTTTGAAAACATAAGGACCATAGACCAAGGAGTCTGAGGGCAAATTTCACGTGCTCATTAAAAGCTACCGCGGCCTCCTATGGCTACTTAAATGTCAAATCTCTCATCAAATATTTGATGTTTGGTAAAATAAAGAAATCGCATGGTGCGAGATCTAGGCTGTGTGCGGGATGGATATAGATTCACTATGCACATAGTGAATTAATTCACGACTAATCCAGTAGAAACAAAATTTTGTAATTTTCAAATGTTGAGTTTTTTTATTCGACTCATAACAATACATAAATGTAATCGGTCCACTCGTCGGTTTTTCTATGTGTCTCCTGACAATCCCTACATTTTCCTCAGTGATCGCAGTTGAATGTCTACCTTCACGAATTTCATCATGGAAAGAACCACGACCATATCAAATTTTGTTGCGGGGGAAGTACCTATTGATCACCGGATATGTTACCTGTCACTGGCTGCATAAACATGCAGGAAGAGAATGAACTTTTAGTGTCATAAAAAATCATCACCCTAAAACCTTTTCGAGTTAATTCCATTTTCACTACGAATGACGAACTTTAACTTGTGGTAAATTTAAGAAAGAAAAAAGTTTATAATAATGTACTCCATACCGAATTTAGGTTACGGCGGCCAGTTTTCAAAACCCCGCCATCTCTTTGAGAATTTCTTGACAGAAAAACCCGATAAGTGAATGTTATCCAACCCAGGTTTAAAAATGTAAAATACATGTGAGACAATTCATCTGAGTCCTCAGAGTTAACTACCACGTCTGTGGTCTTTGTGTGTTGGCTGTTAAATCCCAATAAGTGCCACAGCCACTTGGTCTTTATAGGTATTCCCTCTTATCTCTAAGAGGATTTTAAAGTTAGTCCGCCGCTCCGCTCTAGTGCGTGTTGGCACACTCAAAAATATTCATTGGTGCCGGCGGAGATCAAAGCCCGGTTGCTCGTGTACTATGAAATTTTCGATAAGCGCGTAGTTCTTGATCTACCACGATAGCTATCACGTACGGTAGTAAGTAACCTAGTACTTATAATTTTCCTAGACTTTATTGGCTTAACTATTAAATTGAAATAACATACGGCGGTGTAAGAATATTCACTACCCAATATCGTCAAATGGGTGTCGTGAACGGTGAAAAAGTGAATCGAACTAGGAGATGTGCAGCGTCTAAATAACAGCTAATAAATAAATAATTGCCTTGAAAATCCCTCTATGAGACAATTTATGAGGGTGGCCAAAGTTCAGCATTGGATATTTTTAGGCTGTAGGGACCAAAGAACTTGCCGGCGGAGATCAAAGCCCGGTTGCTCGTGTACTATGAAATTTTCGATAAGCGCGTTGTTCTTGATCTGTATGTGACTACTGCATCCAATGGACATCTGCAATCAACTTCACACAAAGAAGGCTATAGATGTGTAGGTACTTCTAAAGACTAACCCTTTAATTACATTGGTTCTCTATACCCTTCAGACTGAAACACAGCAATGATTGCGTTTGCTGCTTGGCGGCAGAAACTGAACGATGCTCCTTACCCGAAAGAACCCTAGCTAAAATGAAATCCTAGTAAAATCCTTCGTATTTCTTAGAACCGAAAACTAATGGGGAAGAAAGGTTCTCGTGTGGCAGGCTCGTGGACGAAGTGTCGGGCGGCCTCCTACTAGGTGGAGTGACGACCCGGTGAGACATGCAGGAAGTCGGCCGCAGATGGCTCAGGACCGTGCCTTACAGTGTTCCTTGAGGGAGGCCTGTGTACAGCAGTGGACTCGTGAAGGATTGTAATGAATAAATAATAAGTGTAACTTTATACCGGGGCACAGCAGTGCTCGCGCTGTTGCTTTTTTATAGAAGAGGGGGCAAACGAGCATACGGCTCACCTGATGGTTAGTGATTACCGCCCCCCATGAACAGCTGCAAAACCAGGGGGATTGCAGGTGCGTTACCGGCCTTTTAAAAAGGAGTAGGCTCTTTTCTTGAAGAAGATGATAGTCGAGTGGAGTTGGTGGTGCTTGGCGGCATTAAGAGATAAGAAATAATAAGGGGATACCTAGCTAAACAGACCCCTAGCTAAAAGAAGTTCTAGTCAAATTTTACGTATTTCTTAAAAATACTCAATAAATTTCTTAACATTATATCCAATAGCTCTCTTTCGTAGTACAAAACTGAATAATATAGAACAGCATTAGTTAATGCAGCAAAATCAGTTTCCAATTAAAATATTACCGTAGTGTGTGATGTTACGAGTTCCATTCACTTAATTAGCCAATTACTCGGCTCGTTCGCCGTCCAAACGTGTTCAACCTGCACAAAATCGAGCGAGAGAAAGTTGGCAGTCCTACTATTTGTTTGCGAATTAATTATCCATCCAACATTATCTCAAAGGAGCACACAATTCACCTGATGATAACTGGATGCTGTGACCCATAGGTACATCTAAATCTATCCTCGATTAAGAATCAAAGTGCAGATTTGTTTGTTGTTTTGATCCATTCGCGCTATAACCATAATATAGCTACGGCATGACTCTATCACGTATAACTAGTAAATGTAGCTATTCCTTTATTTTTTCTCTTATTTTCCGTCCATTAAATGACATAATGATAACTTAATTATTAGTATTTCCAAGTATACTTATAATGCACTTATAATATTTCGTTGTTGATAGCACCGTAAAAGAATCCACCGCTGTTCGAGGCGACCATGGGAATGACAGAAAGTGTAGATAGTGGATGAGGACTTTCTGGCGATGACGGTGGTGGAGTAGCCTACTTTTTATACGAGAAATAAAGCATATTAAGGTATAACTATATTTTAAAAAACGAACAGTATTCAATTTTTTTGGAAGGATTAGAAACATATTTTTTGATCTTCCTCCACAATTTACTATAATTTTTAAAATATTCGCCAGTTTTTTCCCAATTTAGGTCAGTATTTTAATAATTAAAACAAATGGGGAGCTTAATTTTTATTAAATTAATAGAAGCTCTATTTCAGGTTCATCTCTCCGAATACCAGTGATGATAAAACAGTATTTTGTACACTTTTATAAAAGATCAGTAAAGTAGTTAAGGAGAGAAATAAAGTGTAATACTGTTTACAGTATAGTTAGCAAACCTTGACGATGGACCAAATTAGGCTTATAATGAGCAGTTGATATTGAGTGTTACTTTTTAGTAATTGTTAATACATTTCAAATACAATAAGTAATTTAAATTATGTTATTCCTTTTATTATTTTCCATTTTGTCACGTCTACACCACCAGTCACGTCTACATTTTTGCTGATAAACTTATGTTTAGATGACTAAACGGGAAAAAATTTACATTGATCTACGTTCTAAACTAAACCTAAAGTTTTTCCGGCTGATGTTAAGTTTTCGATTTTTTTTATAGAATAGGGATGACAGAGGGGCGCACAGTGCGGGCACAGTCCTCATGATAAGTGGATGCTTTAGTTAGGGTTGCCACCTTTTATTGAACAAATATAGTACTTTTCCCAAAAAAGATCCAAAAATATAGTAATTTTCAGAAATTCAGGAGAAAAAAGTACACATTTATTTTAATTATTTATGTACTTTACATATATATATATATATATATATATATATATATATATATATATATATATATATGTGTGTGTGTGTGTGTGTGTGTGTGTGTGTGTGTGTGTGTGTGTGTGTGTTTATGTTATATTCGTATATGTTAGGAGTTAATTAATTATTTTTTACTATTTTTTTTTATTATTTTTATTAATTAATTTTAATTAGTTAATTAAACTACATAATACATGGTCTATTTCCTTCTTTCAATTTTACATTCATGACACAAAAAATATTTCTCTAACAGCGCCGAACGTTAATTCTTTGTCGTTAGGTTACTTACCAATGAATAAACGGCTTAAAAATGAGTCCGTGCGTGTATTGATAGTATCGTTGAGATTAGACATTCAGAACAAATAATAAATATGTTTCAGTAAAAATTGTTGCCAATTCTGCTTTTCAAGTTAACAAGATTTCCCATTGAAGAGCAAAATACTTAATTCTCGGCCTGAGAAGATGAGAAGGTAAGCCTCAATGGAGAGCGTTTGGCGGTGCATGCAGCGTGGCGTCATAGCAACCGTACCGTAATTTATTATACTATACCGAGTTCTCGCCGTTCGATTTGTATGAGAAACGCCCCGCGGCTTTTTAGTAACGCTTACTGGGTCTACGTAGTTGTGGTACGAAGGGCATGTTACACGCCTATGTTACAGGGTGAATGAGGCGTTACTTTGCGAAAATCGATTACTTTAAAGGTATTAACATTAATTAACCGGGTCTGGATTAATAAGCTTAAATCGTGGATTTTAGCTAATTAATTTTACCATCCCTAATTAC